TTCTCTCTCGGCACAAGCAACAGATATCTTCTCCTTGAACCCCTGTAGACCCGATGTTTCTAGCGTTTCATCTTCTTCGATTGCAAACCCCTTCCATAGGTCTTCTACAACCTTGACCCATTCCGTGGGTTGCCTACCCCTCTTTTTGTTTGCCCACTTCGCCTCCCATACAATTCTCGGCAACCTCTCCTCTCCCATCCCGCACATGCGATACTGCCATGTCAGCTTCCTCGCGTCTCTTCCCGACCGTAGGGATTGGATCCCCAATTCAGCCCTAACGGCTGCAATACTTGTGCGCCTGGAGCATCCTAGGATGATTTTCGCTGCTTTCATCTGCGCCGCCTCGAGTTCTTTCACTACCTTCTTATTTCCTTCCCATACTTCTCCGAGCGTACTCTGGCGGCGGTACGATTACGCTCTTCAAAACCGTCAATGTGATGCGTTGTAGAGGTGCCGGTTTGCGAGTATTGGGTGCAGCTTCCCTGCTTGTGCTTTGCCCTTTTCCACTACCTTGGACTGTGTGCATTTCACGAGCAGTCTTTTGCGATCTCCACTCCCAGGCATGTGTACTGGTCCACCACTGCAATCTCCTCGATCCCCCACTTCCATCTATGTTCTACTGGTTCCTCCTTGTTCTCGTTGCATACCATGACGGCACTCTTCTGAACGTTGGCAGACAATCTCCACTTATCAGTAAACTTCTTCGCCGCGTCAATTTGCAGTTGCAGTCCCTCAGGGGTGTCCGACATACCGAGCAAAATCATCCGCAAACAGCATTCCCGACACCAAAGTTTCCGTGTCCCCTACTTTACTCCCTTCCGGACTGCCTCTAGACTTCCAACAGATCGTTGATGAACACCTGGAACAATGTTGGGGACAGCGTGCAACCTTGTGGGACCCCCTGCTCAATGTCGAAGAATTTGGACAGTTCTCCGTCTAGCATGACCGCGCTTTTCGTACACTCTGTCATCTTCTTCAGCACTCTCCACATTTTCCCCTTGATCCCGTATTTGGACAGTTGTTTCCACAACCCATTTCTCCATACGGTGTCGTATGCCTTTTTCACGTCCAGGAAGAAGCAGTACGTCGGCTTTCCCGCCCTCTTTCTACCTTGGATGATTCTCCCTACCGTGAATACGTGGTCTTCGCACCCCCTCTTTTTTCGGAAACCTGCCTGGCCCTCACCAATGCTATGTTCCTTCTCCAATGCTCCCACTATCATATCGTTCAGCAGCTTACGGAACACTTTTCCTTTTGTGTTCAACAGTGTGATCCCCCCGTAGTTTTCTGGGTCAGTCTTGTCCCCTTTCTTAAGCAAGTTCACGACCACTCCTTCCCTCCATCTACTTGGCGCATACTCGTTTTTCCACACCCAATTGTACAGCAGTACCATCAGCTGGATCATCCCCTTCCCCCCAAACTTCATGAACTCGTTGACTATCCCATCCGCTCCTGCTGCTTTGTGGCACTTCAGCTTGTTCACACACGCCTCAACCTCGTCCTCAGTGAACTCCTTTTCTAGTTCTACGTTCCCAACGTCTGCCTTCGATGTCTCTTCTTCTTTTTGGG